GCCATGACTTGGAGCAATTGAAACACCAAATTAGCTGCTATACACTTTTCCATTGCTTGATTGACATCTGTATTGATTTTCTGTTAGCAAGAACCAATGCATATCATTGCCCTCTCACTGATCACAACAGAGGTCATCTTTAAACAAGATCAGCATGAAGAGAGTAACAGAATGTGATTGGCTTATCTTTCACTGTAAAAACAAGGATAACCAACCACTCTGTACTCCCTGAAAACTCTAATTTGAAGGATTTAACTGCACCAAAGCCTTCACATTGAAAGCCTTTATTCCATTGATTTCAGTGCTAAGGATGGCAAAAGTGCAACATGGACCATCCCAGGGATCGCATCATCCTGCAAGCTGCTGTACAATACAGAACAGAAACAATATAACTTGACATACAGTAGATACATGTCCTTCTATCATCTGTTGGCACTTATCAGTGACATATCTTTCTGTTAAACAAGACAGAAGAAGGAAGAAGCCTTGCTGTCATTTCATGTGGCACTGGCCCAAAAGTGACTCTAAACCGTTCTACCTCAGCGAAGAAAGACTTTGGAGATAAAGGAGTTTTCCCACTTGTAACCTTCTGGATCCAGGATCAATCTACATGATGTGAGGAGAGCTTCCATTTGGACAGTGTCATTTTTCATCATAGCTGGCAAGGTTTGTGCAATATTTATCTGACTTATACAAGTTTTGCAAGAGTAGACTACACTTTATCACTTGCTTAAGAATAAGAATTAAAGACAGAAATACTATGAGCCAGTACTCAATGCTTACAGAAGAAATGAGATGCTTTTTTGGCACCCTGCAAAACAAATGGCATTCTCTGATGTATCTGTTGGAAAGCCTCAGTGTTGCACAGGGTAGACTCCAGGCTGGTAAGGCCAGATGGTATGAACTTCTTATTCTACAGCTCTTACAGAGCTTGTATTTATACTCTCCAGGCTTGTATCTAGAATTTACTACAACTTGCTCTTTCTCTCGAGCTTACTTATCAACTCTCAGCATGATGCTGGATTGCCCTTTCTAGAACTTTCCAGCAAAATCCAAACAGTATCTTACAGTGGTTGTCAATGCAGTATATCTGAGGAAGCAAAAGGCCATTGAGAGCATATCCTCTGTTGTCAATCAAGCACAGGACAGCTGTAATGTTGAGAAAAAGGCCCAGAAGTAAAAGACATTTGCTCATGCAATCATTCAAACCAGTTATGCTGGGCCGATATCCTGACAGCCCCAGTTTCTTGACTATCTGTTGAGTTTCTGCACTCTGGCTCCTGACTACCAGAGCAAGAAAGCCACTCTGCTTTGAAAAACTCAGGCTTCCCTGTTGGTGCCCACTCTTGCAGCAGGCTGAGTAGCCTGTTCTGCCCAGTCACGACCCTGACCCTGTTTGCCAAAGAATGGTCTACACTGGTAAGGTGTATAAATAATTCCCAGTATCAAGTCTCCTAGCTGCAATTTGTCTTCAGTCTATACTGCTTGCACTTGCAACAATGTGCTATTATGATGAGGGACCTCTTCTTGATGTCAAGAATAAAAGGTGATTATTTGATACATATGCATGATAGACCTATAGTACAATTCAGTTGTCCAACTCTAGATTCTCTGTGTTGTAAACTTCTGTGTTTTTTCTAACTGGCAGAGTGTGATGCTCATGGAGATTGCATGTAGGAGATCCTGACACATGCAATCTACTTAATACTATCCTTATAGAAGTCTAGCCTGCCAGATAACAGCAGAATTCTATGATCCCTCAGTCAAAAGAAGAGGCCAATGCATCTGGGACAAATACATACTTCACAAGAAGGAGTATTGAAAGGAATAGTAGCACTAAGGGAACCATTTATCATGCCTTCTTTAATAATTGAAATGCTGAATAGAGGCAACAGTTTGAGATTGCTGAGGTGAAGTGCTGTAGAAGCCTGATGTATAGTGGTTTTGAGGTGAAACAAGCATCCTTTTTTCACTTAAATCACACAATGCTGCAACTTCACATCAAGTACAAAGGCTGTTATTCTCTCAGACTAAAGGACACAAGCATCATTTCTGATGCAATCTTCAAGGAGAAAAATTCATATATATGGCCTAAGGAAGTGTTTACCAAAGGCCAGTTCAAGTCCTTACCACTATGAGATTTATTGTAAACAAGTAATTCAGGGAATGTTGAATGTCGTATTTCCCATATCTTATGTGCATCTTTCAAACAATATATAATTGCACTGAATCCTTGGCATTGAATAGAGGAGCCCCATAAATACAGGGTTCTGGATTCATGGATCATCATGCAAGTCCCAAGAACCTTGAATTTAGATGGTGGTATTTTCACGCCGTTTTTGGGATCTACTAATTTGATTAGAATCATCAGAAGAAGACTGGTAATTATGTACATGAGTTTTTCTCCATCTTATTGTCATCTCAAAAGGATTGACAGCACCTACATAGGTGCCTAGAAATTAGTATTGACATAGAATTTTAATCTCTGTACTCTATTGTCTTCACTTCTCTGTTTGGATCTGTTAGCATCCTATTGTTCTTGAGACCATGGATGTCAGATACACTGAAGACAAAAGACTTACCTTATTCATAGAAATTACATTGTCCATAGGGTGGCAAATGCCACTCAGTCACAGTAGTATAAATACCTCATAAATATCTAGAGCTACTTCAGTCAATTGTGCTATAAGCCCCAGACTGAGATATACATTATCTAGGAGTCAGTTTCTCAAAGGATCAGAAGAAAACTATCCTCTTATCCCCTGTCTTCCTGAATATGTGAGTTTCAGTGAGAAAAACATACTCAAACAGATCTGCCAGTGATAAATTGGTGAAAAAGAAAGAGTGCATCTGGGTATAAAAATAATGCTGGCAATGAGTAAATAGTGGCAGCAAATAACATGTCCCACTCAATCACCACTTGTTTCTCCAGGAGTCAGAACCAGGACTAAATATAGTCCTCTCAGTGCTTCTACTGAAATTCCAGCTTTCAATTTTTTTTGGATATTTTATAAGGTCAGTGTCATTTGTCTGTTGAAAATGATCTCTGTGAATCATTATCTTTTCTTTTTCTTTTCTGACCCTGTTAAGGAAGAGTGTATAGCAGGATCTCATGACTGCCTTCCACACCTCTGAGCATTGCTGACTTGTGCTTATCCAGATACATTCTCCAGCTTGGTGTTCCTTTGTTGTGGATTGTCTCATATTTGTGCTCAAATCACAATCAATGTGGTCAATGTGGCCCATGCAGGGTTGCCGGTGGCCCTTTTTACTGGAGTCCAGATTCAGGTTCAATAAAGATTCAATTTAGGTAAAAAGAGGAGAAGGGATGAGGGTCTTTCCTCTTTAAATGAATGTTTTTCTTCATTTTAAGTTGCTCATATACACTCTGATGAAAAACCCATTCACTGATTTGCAATACATTCATCCAGTCAGATTTCATTCTTTCCTATTAATATTATAGCAGATCTAAAAGCCCTTGAAATCTGCTATCTATGCTGATATTGATTTAATTGTCAAAGCGATGAACACATATTTCAGGCACTTCAGTCTGAGTCAGTGAGCAGAAGCCAACATGTGAATCAACATTATGATCACAGATGTGACAGCATGTCATTAGTGGCAGTGCCAAGCATGGTCAATTCAATTCAAGAACATGTGCAGGACATAGTGATGGTATTTGCTTGTACTTTGCCAGAGGCAGCTTTACTCAAGCCTATATTTTTTACCAAAATGTAAGCTGAGAGAAGTAGGGCATCATTTTATGATGTTTTCTGATGGATCTCTAAAGCTTCATCCATATCATGTCCTAGAGTGTTAACTGAATGAAAGTTGCAATTCACTGTAAAGGACAGTGCTTGAATATATATGTGATTATAGGACCACTGTGACAAAAGCATGTGATTATGATTTGTCAGTAACACAACCAGTCATGATGCATAACATGAAGTCTTGAGCACATCTGACTAGCTATGCAAGCCAATCAATCCTTGGAGTACTCTCTTAATTTTGCACAGTATATTTCTATTCCAACAGCCACTGTGTTATGGCCCAAGCTTAAGACTTCACCTTCTGTGCCTCAATTTCCCATACATCAACAACAGATCTCAAGATTGCATCTTCTATACCTGAACAAGAATCATGATGTTCTGGCTAAGTACCCAGGTTGCTTCGACATCCACACCCTAAACAAACAATTCTGTCTCCTTGGTTCTCAGCCCAAAGTCCTTGGGATACTGGAGATGAGAAAGTGAGCATTTTGATAATAGCAAATGTGGGGTCTTCATTTGTGCACAAAGGCTTCACAAAGAAAGTCTCCCTCTGTGAGTCTGTGAGCATTTTAGGATTTGGTTCTGAGAGCAAACATGTGCCACTGCCACTAGTAGAAAATTCATCAGTATAACAGGAGAAATCAAGACTGATAACACTCACAATGACAGTTCACAAAAGTCCTGGAATGGAAAAACTTAGTGCATGGCAATGATCATCTGGTATGGATAGAAGAAATGCCACTTGCACCCTCTGGAACCATACATGCTGCAGAGACAAGGACATGAGCTGTGTCTGATAATTTGGTTTTCTGGTGTATCCTTGCAAAGGAAAGTTTATGGGGAAGTATAATGTGGAATGGGTATTAGAAACTCCTTGCTGACTGCAGGCTTCTCTTAGAGTCTTTTTGGATGATTCCTTATGAGAGGTGAATATGAGAAATAGGCAGAGAGAGGAGAACCCTACTTTAAATAAAGATTACTTGGGCCCCTCATGTTGTGATCTGTCATCATCAACATTGTTTTGAATCAAAACAAAGTAACACTTGTTGGTGTTAATGTGGCTGCTAGGTGAATGACCCATAAATTCATGTATGAGTTATTTTAGATACAGTCCAGAAAACATGGGTAACAATGGCATATTCATATATAAAAAAAAAAAACAAAGTCCATACCCATTTGAAAATCAGAAGACTACACCTATCTTGAAAGGGTTTTCTTTATCAGAAAATGTCAAATCTTCGAAGCAATACCAATGATCACACATGCAACTCTGGGACCAGAATTGCCATTTATAAGTGACAAAAGATTATGGCCTTTGCTCAAGTCATCTATACCTGAATGAACAACAATAGCATGTCTGTGCAAATAAGTCAATAATCTGTCTGTGCTGAGCTCATGCAGCAGAACATACCCAACAATGCTCAGTGGTCCTTTGAGTGTCATGAGATCATTAGTTATATTCAAAATCACTACACTATTTGCATCAGCCTGGATATTTCTGAGGTCACCTGCATGTCTCTTATGTTTGAGAGCTTTGAGACTGCCATGCATAGCATTGAAGGGATTCCAATGTTCTCCTGTAGATATGCAACCATGAGTGAGGTCTCCAAATTCACTATGGCATCATCAGTATAAGAAAGAAAAGGAGATGATGAGTATACTGGACATGGAAACCTTGCAGTGCATTAGGAGAGAGGCCTGCGACATGCCCCATCATATGAACTGGCCTCAGGCTGGCCAGGCTGCATTTGCATTGGGTGAATACAATAAGTCCTTGTACCAGTGTTTCAAAGACAGCCTATGGATATTTGTGGTTAGTATTAAAAGAGAATGAGAACTTTTGACTGAGTACCCAAGCTAAGACATACAGGCAATCTGGCAAAGGGTTGACTTGCAAAGAGAAGATGGGGAGAATGATTGCAAGTGCAAATAACAAAGACTTGAACATGTTGGATAGGAAGCAGTAGTGAGGGGAGCAAGCCATTATATGCTTTATATGCTTTATACATGAGAATCGGAGTCCTGACATACAGGTGAGTCATGATTGACACCAGTTAAATTCATTGTATCAGAGCCTTGGCAGAGAATTTTGATGTCCCTCACTTTAACACAGAATATGGGTTACATACACAGCTTTATCAGGCATGTGAGACTGCTGCTACCTCTTTGCTTTTGATATCAAATATTGGACAATGACTGTATCCATCAAGAAAAGAAATCTTTTCTTGCCAGATTATTATGAGACTTGTGAGGCTTGTGGTTTGACTTATGAGTCGATCCATGGATGAAGGCTAGATAATTCATGAAGACTCAAAAGAGCAATGTATAGTGGATTATTCAGCATTGATATCATTTATTGAAGTGCCACTGGTTGGTTAGAGATATCGAATGTAAAACATACTGAGTCTGGGCCAAGAAAATCTTCAGCAAACCTTAGTTGAAGAGAAATGCACTTATACAAATAAGTTGGTATGTTGAAACTTGAGATAGGCCAGAAGTATCCATGAATTAAGGGAAAGTCACACTTACTGTTCTGAACATGAACAAGAAATTGATGAGATAGCTGCAAAAAGTCAAACTGCAGAGAGGAAATGCTACAAAAGTGATGCAGCAATTCCAGATTGGCTGATGGCTGCATAATGTGCAATATGCATGATAATTTTGCTTGAAAGAAGCTCTAAATTAAGATTAAATTCAAGCCATATTATAAAATTGTATGATCATCTGAAAGAGCACTTGACAGTGATGGAACAACAATATACTGTACTGTCATTGGGGGCAAGTTTGGCTTCAGTCCATCTTCTGTATAATAGTTACCAACAATCATACAATATGGTGATAGTGCATAGCCCTTAAGTAAAAGACAGCACAAGATATAGCCAACATCCCAGTGTATAAGCACAGCATATGTATGTCAGGAGGGAGTGAAATCATGGCTTCTTTTCTGAGATATAAGACAGTGAAAATAGAGTATAATGCATTTTAATATCTGACAACATTGTCTATGCAGGTTCTTTTCAAGGTGAATATTCCAAATCAATATTGTTAACCAACTCAATGATGATGAAATTCTGCAGAGCATATCTATCATATGTTCTCTTTATTAGACATTTCCATATTTCATACCTTCTTTTGCCTTCCTTCAGCACTAGCACATTATTTTTCAGAAGGAGACTAATCAGGCAGATAGGGTTGCTTTTGTGAATCAGATAGTATGAAGTGATTAAAACTGGTCATTATTATTACTAAACTCAGCCAGTGTCCTATCATGAAAGGCAACTCGTTTCTGTATAATTCTGATCCTGCCAGACACTCTCATTTGTGTACAAATTTTGTCGATACAGTTATGAAATGTGCTAATGGCAATCTCCACAGGTACTCAATACTGTGATGGGCTTCATGGGACCTTGATTATCTATGACCCTGATAATCCACATGCCAACTTATATGATGTCGATGATAGTATGCTTTCATTTCTTCTTGTTTGCACCCCAGCATAACTTATCCTCAGATAGTACTAGCATCTTAATGTTATCAGACTGGTACCACACACCTGGCAAACAATTAGGCTTCCTATCAATTTGATTCTCACTTCCATCATGGTGACTACCAATCAACGTGTAGCACCTCTGAATATAACACTTATTAACAACTTGAAATGGTATGGCAGTGTTAATTTTGGTGAATTATATGGAGTGAGAACCCTACACATGATTTAGCCATCATGAATGTCACACAGGGAACACTATGTCTACCTTATAGTATTTCTCTGATGGGCACAATGTAGATATCACATTCAAATGATCAAGGCTGCCTGTGATACAGCATTCACTGTCTCTATTGATAACCAGTTGATGTAATTATCAGTCTTTTTTCTTTCAATGGTTCTTTATTTACTGGTAATACACAGGAAGATTACTGAAGTTGACAGTGTAAATCATGTTCCATACACTGCAGATGAATTCCAGATCTTCACTGGTATGTTCATCATTGTTCCCTGAAGATGAGCATCAACTAACACCATTTTTTCCCATCTTTAGGCCAAAGATACTGGTTTGTTGTTTGTTTATATTTCATATAGGAAAATTAATAAAGTTACTGAAATATGTCCCAGTTGATTGCAGACTAGGAAATTGGTAACCAACCTGTCCTATCAAGAAAATATTCATCAAGATCTGGCCTAGTGAGATTGATCTATGTTGGCAGAAACAACCACTGTCAGATCAAGCTGGAGGATGCCTTGATCAGGTATGCAACTGACACATTTGAGTCAAACATGTGCTGTGTGCTGAGGTTATTCCTTCAGTGTTGCTGTCTCTTCTCAGAATATGGAAGGATACAGATGTAGTATTTTGCAAGTATCAATCCAGGGATTAGAAAAGAAATTGTGAGAAATTGAGATACAATAAGTGGTTATATAAGCACTCATTCTTTTTCAAATTTATTTCTTTATTTTTTGGTGGAAACTATTGTAGAGATGTTGCAGTGATACAGTTGCTTCCAATATGCAGCTATAATTGTTGCCAGGAATTTAAACTAAGCATGTAGTCAGTATGATAATTTCAAACATAGTTTCTGTTCATCATGAGAAAATGCATTATGCACTAATGAGTGTGGGACTCAAGACTTATAAGATTTTGCTGAAGATCTTCTTCTGCACCATCTCTATACTTATCTTGTGCATCTCCAGATCACTTACTACATACTCACTAAAGCCCTATCTGTTTTTGTCCAGTCTTTCAGAAGCCAATGCTCATTTTCAATAGTGTCAGACAATGACTAATCACACCCACAAATATAATGCTGCCAAGTGCCAGGGTCTGACCAAATCTATAAAGTAAGTAAGATGATGATATAAAGGATGATGATAAGAGATGCATAAAGGGTTATGGAAAGTAGGCAGGCTTAAGTTACCAGTGCTAAATGCCATTGAGAAAGTTTCACAAAGGGTGAAGGGGATTAATTGGTAAATTGAACCATAGCTCAGGACTAGAGTTACAAATTGTAAACTACTCACTTAAATACTATATAGGAAAATCTTTACCCTTTAGACACATACCATTCAGTCTTATCATGTCTAAAGCATGTTCTAATAGCAATAATACCTTGGTGCTATTAGACTCAAATATCACATGAGTGGAACTTGTGATAAACTAGTGTTGTATCACATTTGTACAGTCACACTGGAGTCCACCTATGTTGTTCCACTTATTGTGAAGATCAAGATATTGCAAATAAGCTTGAGAGTGAGTGGTATAAAATAAACTTTAGCTTCAAGCTGAGTCTACCACAGTGAGAGCTACACTATTTATATATGTTTTTAGCTTGAGATAAATATAGTCTTTCCTATTGTGTCTACCTGTGAGTTGGAACTAAAGAATGTGTTATAGATGCATGAAACAATGGAATGCATGTATTGTTGAAGCATCCATTGCAAGTTCACAGTACAATGACATAAGCTATCCATTATAGGCATGATTACTGGTGATATGTCCTGAACATGTCCAGGCATATGATTTTGTGAAATACAGTACTACATACTAAGTACAAAAGTACTACTAAGCATGTGAAGCAAAATAGAGCTAGAGCACAATAAAAGAAAGACTAGCTATAATAGGCTTGAGTGATAATTGATAGAGTACATAATTAGCTTCAGAATAATACTGAAGAGTCACACTATGCAGAAAGTCTCAGTACTTGACACTGAATGCACTGACAATAGCACAGAGCTTGCACACTAAGAATAGAAATCATATAGAACTATGAATATGACCTTATACATGAGGAACATGTGTGTATGACCTTTGTGCAGGACTTTCATGCAAGAGACTTTCATGCAAGGGACTCTGCATATCACCTTTGCACAGGACTTTATGCATGTACTGATATATGATGCATAACCATGGAGTGGGTTAATTAATATGCTCTAGCCCAGAAGTGATATATTGTAAGAAAGACAGACACTCAGCTAGAGAACATAACAATTGTGGCTAACTTCAGACATGAGAGACAGCTCCAGTGGTCTGAAACAGGTTCTGGGAATGGCAGAATAATTCCAAGGAGATAAGAAAGCAAAGAGACCTGTGGCTAGGCCACTAACAGAGCTAACCAATGCCAGATTGCATAGAAACAGAAGGCACAGTTCTGACCCAGAGCAGAATATGCATGTCAGACAGTGACATGCATATGAATGACTCATGAGAGACTCTGAAATAGAGTCCCACACATTGAAACTACTATATTAGATGTCTCTTAGTAAGTACAGTAGTAGTCTATTTAAATACCATGTTGTAAAAGTAGTAGACAAGTTTCTGACCTTCTACAGTTGCAGTGTATTGGACATGAAAGCCTTGCACTCTAGCTCTGGGTTTGTGTTTGTAACTTCAGATGAAAGAATAGACCCTTAATTGAGATTATTAAGAGAAATCTGAGAACTGTATAAGGCATTGAAGCTTCTGCAGGACTCTAGTTCGATTTAATAAGAGGTTTTGGATTGTTCTCTAGCCTGAGAATAAGAGAGCAGTGTCTGAAGGACACTCTTTTGAGTTTTTGAGGTACTTGTGATATGAGGCACTATATGACAAAGATTCAAACTCTTTTATTATGATTTTTTCACTTATCTTATCTTATCAAAGTGTCTATCTATCTGGCCAAACTGGTAACTATGACTATATTAGACAACTCACACCATTGTACTACAGCTTGTGACTAATGCCTCAACAATAGACAATATTTAATTGTTTTATGCACATATTACATGCTCTTTAGTTTTGGACTACAGGTAGATATAATAAGTAGGACTATATTTATCACACTCAGATATATATAAGTAGCATAGCTCTCACTGTAGTAGACTCAGCTTTGAGCTAAAGTTTATTCTATACTATTCACTCTCAAGCCACTTACAATACCTTGAACCTCACAATGAGATGAACACTTGAAGTGGACTCCAGCATGACTGTATGAGTACAATACAGCATTGGTTTACCATGAGTTCAACTCATATGATGCTTGGATCTAATATCTTTGGCTTGAGTAGTGCTCATTGTTTGGTTATTTCCACAGGTTGATAGAGGTTCAAACCCTTTAGCCTGTGGACAGGGTTATTTGTGTTATTTTCACAGATTGGCAGAGGTTCAAACTCTTTGGATCAGTAGACAGAGTTTTATTGTGTTTTTGTGTCTCTGGATTGCATAGGTTCAAATACTATGGGTCTACAATCAGTTTAGAAACTTGTGCACAGAGGTTTGAACTCTTTGATGCTTGTGAATGTGTTTGTGAAGTGTTTCTGCTTAGAGCACAAAGCTTTGAGTCATGTAGTGTGTGTTTTAGAGATTTTGAGTTGATCTGAGCAGTGCTTAGGACTTTTCTGAGAGTTTTGTGAGAGTGTTTTAAAGTATTATATTGAGCTACAATACCTTTGTCTTGAGGCCTGACAATATTTATTGCCTCCTCTTGTTTTTAAATAAAAAGCTTTGAGAATTAGAGAGATCTAGGACTATTATACATATGCTATTGCTATTCATGTGCAGTGGATCATTGGAGAGACAATTATATTTGCTATAATTACTCTTATCATATTATAATCCCCCAATAAACTAAGAAGTATTATGTGTGTGTTGATATGAATGTGATCAGTGGATAGCACTCTGCTAAATAAGCTTTCATTTTATATGCATGCAAGACCTCTTTATCAGTCCAGCTGGATAGATAATGAGTAAGCACCTATGATTGAATAGACACTTGATAAGATAAGATAAGCAGAAAAATCATAACATTACCCTTTTCTTAAGACCATCATCCCAATAGTTATATTTTAAGATGAGGGGCCTGTCTGGCAGTCATGGTAGGTGGTAATAGCATCATCAGTGGACATCTATTTTTTGTTTATCTATTAGTTGAATTCTTGTCTGTATCTCTTTTATTTAACAAGATAGTCAGTTGTGGTAGAAAGGCAATATTCACTGTGTCTCTATATTCAGTGAAGGCAGGAGTCAAGAATTGTCTTGATCTCATATGATTCTTTACCATCCATAAGATCTGATTCTGAAGAAGGTGGATGTTCCTGGTTTAGAAATGCTGGAGGTGTGTAAGGAGAGAGAAGCACTTCATTGAAGACAGAGTGAATCTTCCAACTGGCAGGGAGAGTGAGTTTATAGGCTGAGAGACCAACCTTTGTAATGATTGTAAAGGGACTTATTTGTTTGTCTGCTAATTTTCATTTTAGACAGAGAAGATGAAGGTTAATGGTATTGAGTCATACTTTATCATTCACAGCATATAGGACAGAGGCACATTTTCAGATGTCATATTGGCTTTTCATTGCAGCAGTGGTCTTTTCAAGTGCTGCTTGAGTTTTCTTATGAATCTGGATTATTCATTCTGTAAATGTTACAGATGCAGGAGTCTGAGCAGAGTGTCTGTCTGTGGTTGTGATGTTTGGATAACAACTATAGTTGATAAAGAATGGAGTTTTTCCTTTGCTGAATAAATATGATTGTTACATTAGAAGATGGTAAGTGCAAGCCACTCTGTCCAGTCATTCTGACAGTAATTGATGAAGATTTGTAAATATTTTCAATTTC